AGTTCAAACCTGTGTTGCTCAAGGGCCAACTATAAGACAATTATTTTTATTATTTTTGTCTCTTAACCTTCTTACTAGCCTTGTAAGTCATTAATTTACTACTGCCTGCACTATGTGCTTACCTTTTCCAGTAAGATTGATATTTTTATGTTTTCTTTTTACTAATTAGCACTCCTTCTTTTCAGCTTAAAGAAGTCCCTTTAACATTTCTGGTAAGGCCAGTCTAGTTGTGTTGAACTCTTTTAGATTTTGTTTTAAAAGATTCATTTATTTTAGAGAGAGACAAAGAGAGAGCATAAGCAGGGGGAGAGGCAGAGAGAGAGGGAGACAAGCAGACTCCCTGCTGAGTGGGGAGCCGAACACAGGGCTCAGTCCCAGGACCCTGAGATCATGACCTGAGCTGAAATCAAGAGTCAGACGCTTAACCGACTGAGCCACCCAAGAGCCCCTCCTTCAACTTTGTTTGTCTGGAAAACTCTTTATCTCACCTTCAGTTCTAGAGGACAACTTTGTTGGGTAGAGGATTCTTAGTTGGCAGTTTTTTTCTTTTAGCCACTCCCTTCTGGCCTGGAAAGTTCCTGTTGAAAAGTCTTATTGGGGATTCATTTGTACATACCAACTTGTTTTTCTCTTGCTGCTTTTAAGATGTTCTTCTTGTCTAACTTTGGAGACTAATTATAATGTGTCTTCTCTCTCTTCTTCTGGGACCCCTATAAATAATGCAAATGTTGGTCTGCTTGATATTGTCCTATAGGTCCCTTAAGCTATTTTCACTCCTTTTCATTCTTTTTTTCTTTTTGCTGTTCTGATTGGATGAGTTCCATTGCCTTGTCTTTGAATTCACCGATCCTTTCTTCTGCTTCATCTAATCTGCTGTTGAACTCCTCTAGTATATTTTTCAGTCTGCTGTTGAACTCCTCTAGTATATTTTTCAGTTCAGTTATTGTATTCTTTGGCACTGTGACTTCTATTTGGCATTGCCTTATATTTTCTTTTTGTTGAAGTTCTCACTATGTTCATTCATCTCCCAAGTTCAGCGAGCATCTTTGTGTCCATTACCTTGAACTCTTGTCAGGCAGATTACTTAACTCCTTTTCACTAAGGATTTTTTTGTGGTTTTATCTTGTTCTTTGTTCATTACATGTTCCTCTATTTCCTCTTTTTTCTGGACTCCTTGTGTTGTTCTGTAAGATAGTCAACTCTCCCAGCCTTGTTTTGGAGATGAACCTTTATCATTCAACCCTGCCCCAGTTCTTTCTTGTCTCTCAAGCCTTTGTGATGGTCCAAACAGCCTCTTTCATTTTTAATAGATCCCAGTAGTTGGGGGTGTGCCACGACCAGTGTCCCAAAAGGGAGGATCTCAGGCAGCACCTAGATTTAGGCTGATTGTAAGCTGGACCCTCTGGCGGCCGCTCTTAAAGTATGCAAATATATACAGTCCTGTGGGCCCGCAACTGTAAGCCCCACTGGCCACCAGAGCCAGGCGATCTCAGCATGTCCCGGTGGCAGTCCTAAAAACCAGAGTACCAAGTGAGTGTGTAAGTCCCTTTCTGAGAGGGAACAGTGAGCCAGGGGAAGGCAGAGGGCAAGCACAGAGATAGCATGCACTGGCCTCCGTGCCCCATGAGCGCCACCTTGGGCCCCTACTTGTGTGCCAGACTGAAGGCTGCCCTAGGCCAAGGCTCTGGATTAAGCAAGTGAGCCTCTTTCACAGAAGACTGGAGTTGTTCTGGCTTGCGTCGTGTTCAGTGCCCTACATGTGGTAGCCTGTCAAGAATTGTCCCTCCGATTTTTTTTTTTTTTAAAGATTTTATTTATTTATTCATTAGAGACAGAGAGAGAGGCAGAGGGAGAAGCAGGCTCCCTACTGAGCAGGGAGCCCAATGCGGGACTCGATCCCAGGACCCCGGGATCATGATCTGAGCCGAAGGCAGACGCTTACCCATCTGAGCCACCCAGGTGCCCTATTTTTATTTTTTTACATTTGATCTTAGCCAAAAGGCCGAGAAGCAATTATTTTTATTTTTTTAAAGATTTATTTATTTGTCAGAGAGAGAGAGAGCTTGCACGCGCACAAGCAGGGGGAGTGGCAGGCAGAGGGAGAAGCAGGCTCCCCACTGAGCAGGGAGCCCGATGATGGACTCAGTCCCAGGGCTCTGGGATCATGACCTGAGCCAAAGGCAGACGCTTATCTGACTGAGCCCTGTCCCTCCAATTTTTAAAGTCCCATGGGACTCAGGAATGGCAGCCCCCCCCATCCCTGGCCGCCAGAGCCATATGGTCCAGGGGCATCCCTTGGGTGGCAACCATAAATACTGGGGCACCAGGTACATATAACAACCCTCTCCTTGCATGCTTGCTAAAAATACAATTTCCAGACCTTACCCAAGACCTGCTGAATTTCAGTACAAAGGTGTAGTTTGGGGATTATATTTTTACCAAACATCCTATCTGCTACTGTGACTGGGTGCATTTGGCTAACATTAAATTATTTTTTGGAGACTTGTATCCATTGGCTCCTTGCAGCCGCTGTAAGAACCCAGACTTGCCATTGTTCTGTCTTTCCTAGACCGTGGTGTCAGCCAGTCGTTTGTCGACTCATTCATTCATTCAGTGAACAAGCAAGTATTAGTTTAGGGAAAGGCGTATCGATGCCAGGCACCTCCATGTTCTTGCCTTTGGTTCATAAATGCCTTGTTTGCTCTGTGACCAAACTAGGTCCCAGTTTTATGAAAGACCATATTCTGGGACTATGGGTTTATATTCGTTCTTTTCCTTTCTCCTCTCTCTGTCCACCTCCATTCCAGGGTTCTACACCCACCCGGCCCCACTGTGACCCAGCCCAGCAGACACCTGCTATGGAACCCGGGGTCCTGCTTGTTCATTAGACATATGCTATAACTTTATCTCCCATCTGCCCTTTCTCCTTCCGGGCATTCTGCCTCCATTCATACCCATGTTTCTTGTCCTTTCTGCTGCTTCTCTGGAAACGTATTTTCTTCGACTCTCCTGCTTGCCTCATTTGCTTTCTCCCTGCATCGCACATGAGCTCTCAACCCACTCTTGTGCATGTCCGTCCACCACCTCTGTCCTGCTCACTGCTCCCCTTCTCCCCAATGGCAGACATCACTCGGGAGCATGCCAGCTTCTCACTACCCCCTCTCCCCCATCTGACTACAGCTGGACTCTGGCTTCTCTTTTCTCCACGAGGGCACCCTCCAGAGTGAACATGTGAAATGACCACTTTTTACCACCTAGACTCTAGAAGAAAACTTCCTGGTAGTGACCAAATAGGCCCTAATCTTTTCTCCCCTTCTGTCTCCACACGGGGGCCACTCTCCCCTGAGTACCATTGCTCCTGCAGCAATAAACCCTTCGTAAAGGCATGTCTGCATGTGTCCCATCAGAGTAGACCCTGTCTTCTAGAGGTTTCCATTCTAAGAGAGCAACCTGGTCACTGTCCAGCTGCAGAAGGGAGGGAATGGGCTGCCCTCTGTGACCCCCCCTCCCATCCCCTCTTCTTGCTTTCCTGAAAGTCAGGCAGCACGGTGACCCCGTGTCCTAAACGGAGCAACCCTTATTGGGCTGATCCCTCAGCCCTGGCCTTGTTTCATCCACTGTCACTGGGCAGTGGCGAGGAGTGACTTCTTTTGTACATATGGCAATTTGGGTGCCAGAGATAAAAAAGGGCAGGAGGGTTGTGAGTGACACACAGAATTGTCTGTTCCACCTACTTACCCTTGGTGGGAGCATGTTTAAATAGATCAGAGCATTTAATATCTGGCAGTATTTGTTGATTTCCATTTACTCATCATCTTGCTAATTTAAGCACATTAATAACTAGCAGCTGTACTTCATAGCAGTTCTTTATGTCATTTGAAAGGGAAACAAGCACTAAATATACTCTGGTTTCGCAGGCTATCATCCTTGGGGAAACTTTTTAACTCCTTGTAAACAGGTGTTTCTGGAGTCACTCAGTGATTTTAACTGAGATTTGAGCTTGTGGTGGCATGGATTTTTAGTGTTATAGTCCCATTCTGAGGGTGGCCCTTCTCCTGGAGTCGCACACTCTGCCCTTGTCCCTGCCCCAGCTTCTGCCCTGTTGAGAGCACCTACGTGTCTTGAGCCCAGCAGCCCTCCCACTCTCTTCTCTGCCTGCGTGAACTTGAGCGGTAGCAGCATGCCCTCCAATGGCAGAGCGGCCCCCTGCGCCCACTCCTTTCTGCCCCAGGCCGAGCAAAGGCTCGTCGTTATGATGGCTCCATGTTTGTGTTTTTAAAATTGTCACCTTAGAAGAAGCTCAGGCTCTTGGACTGCTGTGATCCAAAAGTGATCCCAAGAGTTGCTTCTTCTGTCCTTGGGAAGGAGAAGAATGCCAACACCAATCCTAAAATCACCTTCCTGTAGTAACTCCATTCGGGTAATCAAGCACTCTCATACAATCTGCTTTGGTTCCCACATCAGCCTGCAGACACATCCAGCTGCGGAAACCAGTGGGCCATCCCCCAGGGACAGGGAGTCCACAGCAGGTGGCTCAGATCCCAGGGCCCAGTCCAGTGAGAATAAGCCTTATTATCCCCTAGAACAGGGATCAACAAGCTTCTCCGGTCTGGCTTCAAAATCCAGCTGTCTGTTGAAACAGGCCCCGTTGTCCTAGCCTGGATCCTTGACTCTGGGGAAAAAAAAACAAAAACAAAAAGCAAGACATGAGAGCTGCCCTGGGCCCCCCTATAGACAGACAGCTCCCAGAGAAGCAGACGTGTTGTCTCCATGCAAAACTAACTTTTCTGTGTCTCCACGCTACTAGAAGTGAGACAGTGGAGGATGATTAAAAAGTGAGTTAAGCCTGGAGGAAGCCAAATCCTAGTTCACGTCAGCTTCAGAATAGGCCCTGATGGTCTGCTGGACTAGATATGGATTCCAGATAACAACTGCTTGGGTAAGATCTCGAGCGGTTCTCCTGTGGGCATGAGAAGGATCTTACCTCTCCTCTCTTGCAGGAGAGTTCTCGGCCTCAGACAGCTCCCTCACGGACGTCCAGGAGACCCGAAGGCCTCCCATGCCCGACCCCGGCCTGATGCCCCTGCCCGACACTGCTGCGGATTTAGATTGGTCCAACTTGGTGGATGCTGCCAAGGCCTATGAGGGTGAGTCCGTGGACGATGTGAGCAGGACGGGCAGGACCGGCAGGGCTGGGGGGTGCGAGGCTCTGGTCATTCTCTGTCCGCTCTGCTGCTTTGAACACATGGACCACACAGGGTGGAGCCCATGCAGCTGGAAACCAGTTGGCCGAACCGTTACTGAGCACTCAGTAGGGCCACATGCTGTATGATTTAATCCGATGGGGCCTGACGTTTCCTCTGCATAGGAATTCATAGCATGGATGTCTCCCCTCCCCACATGTGGGAAGGGCAGGGAGTGGGGGCATCCCAGCTGTCACCTGATTGAAAAGAACACCTATCCAGAGAGTCTTTGACCTGATCATGAGGACCTCACTGTGAAGTGCAGCGTTGGATCTGTTAGGGATGCTTGTCCCACTTGGCCCTGCCCCAGGTTTGACAGCTGTTGGGTATCCTCTTTGTGCTGCTCACTCACCTCTCCCGACTCTGGTAGCACGTTTTCTGTCCACGTTGTTCCTGTGCCAACCCACCGTCTGTGATTGCTTCACTGCAGGCCCTTACGCGGGCGTGCTGGAACGGAGGAAACTCTACGTATTAATGCTATCCGCATACGTGGACGTGAGGTTGTCAGATGCCTTTTGTGAATAGACTTCCCTCTGTGGTCATCATGCCAAATTCTTTGGTGCTAAAATGTTCTTTATAAAACAGTGATAGCAAATGAGTGGTTTAAGGTGGAGTTCGTTTTTTTGTGTTTGTTTTTTTTCTCTCATGTTTGAAGAATTGAAAGTGGGTATTCTGCCCAAGCTACGATTTTCAGGAGAACCTGATTAGTCGACCGTGGAGTAGCCCACAGGGCATCCCCATGTGAGCTGGTGGCAATTCCCCAGTACAGACGATTTTAAATTTCAGCTTGTTGGTCACGCTCCTTTATGTGATATGGTAGTAGTTTCGTATTTTTAATGAGAGGTTTTGAAAATTTGATTGTTTTCTTTGCTCAAGTTTTAAGTTGGGTGTATTTTGAAGAACATATGGTTGCACTTTGGCTAAAACCCACCAAGGTAGCCAGGGATCTTGTGGAAAACATATTTCTACAAGGGCATTTTCTATCATCACTGAGTGGAAAAAGCCTTGGTCTGGAAATCTGGCACAATGCCTGTTTCCAGGGAAACATTTCACAGAATGCTACTTTGATGAGTAAGAAAAAGAAGACGACAATTGATTCACAAGTGTTTTCAAAAGGGATCTTAAACTGCTACCATCCTCTTAGAGCTGAAACAGTAATTTTTCCCTACACGGCTGATAGACCGGGCCCAGATGTTTCTCCAAAATACTGAATGGCTTCTCCTCTCCCTTCCAGTCCAAAGAGCCTCCTTCTTCGCTGCTAGTGATGAAAGCCACCAGCCCTTGAGTGCTGCACCCAACAGTGACCAGCTTGAGGAGCAGGCTCTGGCCCAGATGAAGTCCTACAGCAGGTTGGTCACCCAGTAGGGAGGTCAGCACTCTGCACCATGTGTCCCCTCCACTCGTGACAGCAGGTGTGGGGAAGAGATGGAGGCCACATGGATTAGCTGACTGAAGCTCATCACCGCAGTGCCAGACTCTTCACGTTTTAGAATGCTTTGTAACTCAATCCTGTAAACATAATTAAACTGTTCTTGATGACTACTTAGTCATAATCATGAATATTCATTATTATTTAAAGTCATAATACAGTTATGCTCTCAGGGCTGATCACATAAGGTGAGAAAAATCATTTGTCTGATGTCCTTGAGCCTGGTTTTGGAGTGTCTGCCCCTTGCTGTCAGTTGGTCATACTTGTAAATGTGCCCACATCTTAGCAGCTCCCAACACGCTGCTTCAGATTGACCTTAGATCCGGGTCACCAGAAGAGGTAAGATTCGCGAGAAAATGAAAGGCAAGCAATAACTGAGGCCCAGAGGGTTTCCTTAGGAGTTCAGAGCAGGGATTTTGACTTTTGTTGAACTGAGCAGAGGCGGATTTCCATTTTCCCGTTTCACGTGGTGAGGATGCTGGGTAGATGCGTCCTGTTACTATATAGGAAAGCATCCCACAGGCCGCTGTGGTATACATGTACCCCCTGATGCAGAATAGTTTCCTCAATTTGAAATCTCTCCTTTTAAAACCTTTTGAGGATGGTTAAGAAAGAATCCAGGTATCTAGGAAACAGACAGCAATAGGAAAAGTGAGGTTAGCCTAGGTGTTCAAATAGCCTGTGGGACTTGTTCCTGAAGACTTGGCCGAGCAAGTCTGCAAGGAAATGCTCTTCACAGAGAAAGCAGAAGAGTGGTGGGTGGTTTGTCCTGAGTAAAAGGGACAGGTGCTGCATTCACTCCGATCACTGAGACATCTTGGGAGGGAGAGTGGCAGTTAGTTTGGCTGTTGAGAGCTTTAAAAAAAAAAACGTAGAGTCAAGGGTGCAGTGAACCCAAAATGTACCTTCTTAGAATGGGCCCTCCCACCAGAAGTCTGAGTGAACAAGTCCATTTCCCTCAGAAAGGATTATTCAGCAGCTAGTTCTTAATCCTCACAGAGTCCTAAGATGAGGGTGATGGTTGGCAGTTTTCTTTGTTCAGTGAACAAGTGGAGTTAAGTGTGTTTTTAAAAATTAAAGCGTACACAGGCATGTAATTCACTTTGAAAACCTTCAGAAGTCAAGATAGGCTGCTAAGAGTTTTTACTGGGCATCCCATCTTAGAAGTTTGGAGATCTTATCATTTCATTTATTTACAGCCTGGAGCTACTCATGCCAACTGCGAGTTCTGCCCTTTGGGCTCGTAGATCTAGAATCAGCAGAAGACTTCAACACAGCTCAAGTAGAGACCGCCTTTTATTCCAGGATTCCAAAACTTCAGTCTGTCTGTGTCTTCCCTTTTTGACCTCTGGAAAGAGGCACCTGCATGTTCTCCCAGTGGAAGGCTTTAGCTTGTTGGTTGTGTGACTCTGAGGTGGTGTATCCGGCTAGAGCTCACTTGGAAACGTCCTGCAGCTTGACTTCAGGTAGACAGGAGTTGGATGAAGAACAACTGACGAGGGTCTTCTGTCCAGCCAGTTGGGTGGCCTTCTCCTCTGCTAGCTCTCTGGGGGCTTTTTGGTTCTCTGCTAGCATATAGCCTTCCTAGCACGTACATAAAGCGGGGGAAGGAACAGTGGGGGCCTAGCTTCATTATGCAGAACATAATAGCAAAAGAGACATTAAGGTTGGACTGACAAGCTTTTGAAACAGGTCTTATTTCTTTAAAAATATTTTAAGATATTTAGACAAGCTTTCAAGATGGGAGCATGATAACTTAGCTGCAACTGGATGAGTAACCACAGACTGTTTTCTGGGGAACCAGAGACCTACCCTCTGCGGGCCGCCCCAGGGTAGGGCTGACCTCAGCCCCTCTGCACACAGAGGAGGGGCTCTCTTCTGCTCACAGCCACTAAAGAGAATAGGAAACCCTGCACGGCTTGACACTTGGGCCTGCCAGAAAGTACCTCTCCTGCTGCCAAAGAGACCAGTTTCACTTACTGTCCTGTATTCTTTTGTCGTGAAGAGCCGGCATCTTTAACAGAGGAAGCTATTGATTGGCTGCTGTTCACCCTTGCGTTACCTTTTGTTAAAATTACCATTTTCCTTTTTAGAGTGAACATGCACATTGGGTCACCGTACTGAGTAGTTTGACATTAAAAAACCATTTTACAAATACAGCGGCCTCATTAAAAATGCCAAACAAACAGACCCAGCCGTGGAGGCTTCTGCCAACACCGTCTTTTGTTTCTTGTCCCCAGCAGTAAAGATTCCTCCCCCACTCTGGCTTCTAAAGTGGACCAGCTGGAAGGGATGCTGAAGATGCTCCGGGAAGATTTGAAGAAGGTAAACACACATTCTCAAAGCAGAGTGCCTGGTCTGTGCAAACCGCCCTTGAGCAGATGCCCTGTTAGTGGAGTAACATGGGGGCATTGTCCCTGTTTCCTCGGGACACATGCTCCACGAGCTGCTGGGAGCTCAGTTCCCACCGACACACACCGTGCGAGCAGGCCTTGTCGCGGGTGAGGAAAAGTTGTTGAACCCCAGCCAGCCCCTCGGAGCCCTCTCTGGGCCTCCCCGCCCCTTGTCTAATGGGCCAGTAGCCCAGACCCACCCATCTTCACTGTCATTTGGGCTTTCACAGCAAGAGAACTGAATGTTGTTTTGTTTCTTAGTGGCTTTGACTATATTAAGACGGCAGCCACCCAAACAACAGTCCGAAAGTTAAGACAGCCCTTATTGAAGACATTAAAGTACACGTTAATGTCTTTGCATTCCAAAATAAACCTTACTGAGCCTCTGGCCTGAGTATCCGAATGCCCAGTGTCAGGCCACAGATACAGAGGTTTAGGATGAAGAACAGAAATGGGTGAAGGGGACACCGGCTCCCTAGCCACCCCTCCAGCTGCTGGGTCCCAGCCCTTTCCTCCTCTGCCCTGCCTCCCAGGAAAAGGAAGACAAAGCCCACCTGCAGGCGGAAGTCCAGCACCTCCGGGAGGACAACCTAAGGCTGCAGGAGGAGTCCCAGAATGCCTCGGACAAGCTGAAGAAGTTCACGGAATGGGTCTTCAATACCATAGACATGAGCTAGGGCCGGCCGGCGGGGGGAGCCCCGGGAGGGGGTGGGGGGCTCTCCGCTGCGGTTTGGCGCTCCTTCGACCATGCCCCGGAAAGCCTTCTCAGCCAACCCGCCCTCGCTTCCCACTCCGGCCCCTCTCGGGGAGCGCACAACACAATTATTGCAGATCAACAATCATTATCTGCCTTTTGTAGAAAAGAAAAACAAAAAAGTAAATAAAAATTTTAAAAAGTAAAATAAAAGTTTAACTGCTAAAATGTGAATGTCTTTATTTTTTTGCACAATATCTTTATCTGTTACGTATTTAAAAAAGAAAGTGGGCCTAGGCCGCCCTGGCCCATCTGCCTCTATTTCCATGAGCTCTTATCGATTTCAGGTAACCCAAGCTTTCCCTCCTTATCCTGACCCATGTCATTGCTCCTAGGAAAATAAAGTTTTTGCAAATGGTTTATTTGGGGAGGGGGCTTTCCTTACCTTAGTTCCTAAAATGCCTGGGGAGGGAGGTGCTTGGAGAAAATGCCTATACCTCCCTTGAATGACATGTGCATGAGCTAGCATCCCTATCTTCCCGAGGATAGCGGGGTTGGGGTTACCTGCAAGTCAGTGCCCCAGAGACAGAGCCAGGGCCTCGGGCGGTGCCCCTTCCCTCTCCTGCACTGTGACGTCACTCCACCACCTGCACCCCCTGCTGCCTCTCCCTGGAGATGGTCCCAGGTGCGCTCCTCAGAGCTAGAACCCTTTCTGTCTGGTTTAAGTGGGTCCCACCAAATTGGAATCAGCCTCTCTACAGCTTCTTGGCTCCAAACATTAATTGGTTTCAGAATTCCTCCAGAGTAAAATCTTACTTGTATGTATTTTGGTCAAAAGTATAGCTTTTGTTTGAGATGTGTAAAGATGAAAATGTGGCAAAATTGTATTTTTAGCTTACTCAGAATGGCCATATTAATTAATCCTCTCCAAAGCAAGGCTGGACCAGTATTTATAACTAGGGAAAGTGAATGTTAAATTGTTTAGTACTTGCTTGTTAGGAGCAACGACTGTGATCATAGAATGGGCTTTTGAAACCTGCATGTCCCAGTGTGCAATTTCAGCACGGCATTTTCTGAATCCTTTTGTGGCCAGCCAGAGGATTCTGCTGCAGAAATGATTGATGTGCTATTTTTCCTGTCTAGTGATGCAGCTGCTCTGGGCCTCTGGCCATCGTTCCAAGGCCCCCAGTCCTGCAGACGGACACACTGGGCCCACCAGTGTTAAGGGACCCGGGGAGCCCCTGGTGGCCTTGTTTCTTGCCTTCATAAAATGTCACGAAGCTGACGCCTGTGTCCCTTCAGTGGCAACTCTGATGTAGGGAACGTTCTGCGATGTCATCTGCTCGGAAGCTCCCTGCCCCAAGTAATCAACTCCTTCCTCCATCCCTGAAAGAAACAGGATGGATTTTCTCTCTTCTCCTCCCACCCCCTCCACCAGACTTTTACGGTTTCATTCATGATTGTGATTTTTCCATGGAATTTTTTTTTTTCGGGTGACATTTCCACCATGGAAATAGGAAGATTTCGGAGTGCTTTGTAAAGATCTCAATTGTCTGTCTCTTTCTCTCTTTGACTTGTATGAAGGAGATTGTTACATTGCCTGATATCTCTTTGTAAACGAGAAATATCGCTAACATCCAAGCATTCTGAAGTCTTGCTTATCCTTCTGAGTTTAGTTTTTATTTTGTTTTTCATTTGTTTGGGGACTTGGGGCAAGCTATTTATTAGAGTTTTGCAACAGAATTCTTGTTTGAAGCCTTTAAAGACTACTTGTAAAATTCAAACAATAAAATTCATTTTAAACGCTCTTTTAAAATGCTTTGGTATTATTGCTTGAGGTTTTCTTATTTGAAAGACCACCCAGTAACTCATTGACCCTCCTTGCAACCAATGTTATTATGAGGCTCCATTAACACTGAAAGATGATTCTTCAAAGTTTCTGTCCCTCTCAGAATGCTAATAACCTTTTTTACTCTCGTTTCACATGTCCTTAGAGAATTCCCAATTTGGCTTCTCTGCTTATAATTTAATATTTGCAGAGCACTTTCTAATTAGTTGCCTCTTCATTATCCATGTGTGGGTTTTCCGTAACAACACCGTCATTCCCTGAGACCAGCACGTTTTTGGACTGCCTCTCCTGTGCCACCCAAACCTGAGTTAGATGTTGTGTGCTCAGGGAATACAAATGCCTGTTAATACTAGGCTGTGCAAAATATAATTAGAAAAGTTAATCTACTGAAAAAATCATAATGCATTCCAGAGCCAAATGGAACCAAATTTTTAAAATCTACCGCATCAGTGTTCCTCTCCACTGGTGCAGCTAATTGAGAACTGAGAGTTCCTTCCTTTTATCTGGTTCAACAATTCTACAAATTCTAGAGTTACAAAACAGGGTAAGACTGGATGCCACAAGATAAATCTGATTAGCAAGCTAAAAGGGTCTGTCTAGACCATGATTCTTACCTGGTTAGAAGGGCTTATCCATTATTTCTGAAGGGCTTGGAGGTGGGTTGGGAGTCCCTGGGAGAAGGTGCCATGAGCCTACGTGGTTGAAAGGTCTTCATATATGCCGATTGGAGGGGCCATTTGGTTGTGCTTCATATCTGCTGCCTAAGATAAACAGATGGGGTTGGGTTGGGTTACCAACTGCTCAGATGGGGATAACATTGATAGTCCAAGGGCAAAGGAAATAGGCCCAGTGAGCTTAAGCCACTTGTCTCTAGTTAAACATACAATGATAACTTGAACAGATTCCAGTCTTACAGCCGATCCATTTCAGCAACGTGGTGCTGCTTCCCCGTCTCAGCCAAAGCTAAGCGCTGAGAGCGGTCCTCACTTACTCTACCTGAGCGCATCCTGGTACTCCTCCTATACGGCTCCTCTGCCCGGCACAGTCTGCAGCTCGTTTTAGCCTTCAGCGTGGGTCTCTCATGACCCTTTTTCAACCTGAATGATCTCCCGGACAAAATAACCTAAGCTTTGGGTACCTTACTCTGTATCTTTAGACCAATGCTTTCCATAAGGGATCTCGTCACATATTTTGGGGGTGCATCTATCATTCTTTTTCCTTAACCAAAGTGCTCTGTATTCCTTTAAATGGGCCAATCTCCCTCCACATTTTTGTGTTACATATTTGTTGGCACGCCCCGATATCTCTAATGAGTCCACCCAGCCACACCTCTCCTATGCATTTCTGTAAGTCAGCATGTAAGAAAAGCATCATAAAATGGTATCCACCAATAAAATCCAGCCTCTTTTGCAAGAATATACTTGGTTTGGGAGGATGTGGGCTCTCCAGGGTAACACAGACACCTCCAGCCCCTATTGCCTTCCACACTTCCAGCTCACTGCACACATTTATGTAACTGGCCTGGTAAATAGGCATTCAAGTTGCTGTCCCCTGGATCCTATTGCCAAACCCAAGGGAGCCGTTAACCATCCCCAGCGCCAGCGGCCATCATACACACACACCCCCTTTACTCCCCCCGCCCACCTTCACCCACCCGGTGTTCCTGGGAGTGAATGCTCTTAGAAAATACACTGAAGGAAGGAGTTCTATTCAAGTTCAAATAGCAAACTAGAAGTGACTAACAGAGTTGCCTGGAGGTGGTCCTTCAGTCACCTATCTTATTGAAGAGGTAGGACAGGGGTTCCTGGGTGGCTCAGTTGGTTAAGCGACTGCCTTTGGCTCAGGTCATGATCCCAGAGTCCCGGGATCGAGTCCCGCATCGGGCTCCTGGCTCAGCAGGGAGCCTGCTTCTCCCTCTGACCCTCTCATGCTGTTTTTCACTCTCTCTCTCTGAAATAAATAATAAAACCTTAAAAAAAACAAAATGAAGAGGTAGGACGGATTTGTAACTGACCTAGTAGTTTTTCTAAAGAGCTTAAGAGTGTATGAACACAGTTACTTTTTAAAGCTGCTTAAATGTTCTGCCATCTTAAAACAATGAATATGCTTAGCAAACTTTTTAGTTGGTAGAAAGAGAAACTCGGCCCAAGGTAGGTTCATATCAAATCAATGAGGCTATGGCTATTAAAACATGCACCATAAATGCAATCTAGTTTAATACTAAAGATTACAGCTGGAGTCGAAGCTAGGGCTTCCTTCATAGGCCCTGGGAACAAGCAATTCTCCCTCTAAAAAGAAAAGACCTGGTGGCAGGTAGGAAGGGTGGGGGTATGGAGTTACCGACCACCATCTTTAAGTATTTGACACACTGTGGTATGAAGGAGAAACCAACTTTGACATCTGTGGTTCTAGAGGCAAACATGGAACCTGTGGATGTTTGTTGCAGGAAATAGATTTTTTCTCCAAGATAGCTAATCAATGGTGACTGGGTGGTTTCCTGGGCTCGAAGCCAAGAATTAGAGTCAAACTAGGAACCTCTTTGTGAAGATGACATCCTTTCATCTTTCCTAGTGGACTCTTGCTCTCTTTAAATGAACTTGGAGTCATGAGTCACAGACTCAGGAAGGAAGGGGACCTATAGAGATAGGCAATTCTACCTCCCAGCCCAGACAGGACTGAATCTCCTCGTCATCGTGCAGCCACCTGAGCGTGAGCACATCCACTGACAGGGAACTCATTCCTGCCTGGGGCAGCACATTGTATCTTTCGGGGTCTCTTTTAAGTCATTCCTTTCATTTAGGGAAAGTCCATTTCGCTTTCGTTTTTGTGACTTCCCCCAGTCCTACCACTTCAAATTACACAAATAGAAATTTCTCTCCCCAAGCAATAACCATCAATATGTTGGAAAATGTTAGGTCTTCCCAATGGTATTTATTCCCTGGACAAAAACTCCCTATTCATTCAACTTTTCCTCCTGGGTCATGGATTCCGGTCCCTGCCCCACAATAATATAATCATGTAGGATATGCCTTAAGGACACAAATGCTCTACGTGCATTATTAGCCAATCGAGCCTCACAACTGCCCTGTGAGGTGGGCCTATTATTGTCCCCATTTTACAAAACAAGAAACTAAGGCCTAGAGAGGTCAAATAATGTGTTTGCAGTAAAATAGCCGGTGAATGGTAGAGCTGGGATTCAAACCCACTCTTCGGATTCCAGAGCCAATAGTTATTTAATCTGTACTATCTCAGTTCCATTGGTCCAACCTGTGGGTCCCCCACATTGCCTGATTGCATGGATCCTTGCTGCAGGGACCTAGGTACTGAGCATCATGGACACTAGATGGTAAATGGGGTGGGGTGGGGGGCCACGGAAGATGACTAA